TTAAGATTTTGATACTGTATATACAGTATATATGTATATGTATATATATGTAATTTTTTGTATATTAAATCTACGTTGTTTTGTTTTAAATGAATAAACTTTATAAAATAAAAAAATAAATCTGTACAGCATTGAGCCATTTTGAGCAGGATGTTCTGAACTTGAGTATAATTAGTTCCTGTGACTCATTTTACCTTCTCTTCTTTACAGGCCCCAATTTGAAGACGTTATGCAAAATAGCTGTTATTCAGTACAGTCTGGAGCAGTCAGGACTCCCACATGATATCAGGTCAGAGAAGCTCCTCCCTCCTCTCATGAGTCATGGAAGTGACATATTTTCTGTTTGGATTACGCCGCTCATTGTCACTCAGTAATGAGGTTATTTATCAAAATTAKGACTCATTATCCCTCATTTAGCCAGTGGTGTTTGTTAATGTACAATTAGCTCGTAATTGTATCATGTGTGAAAGCAGTAAAGATTCAAAAGGTTACAGCGATGTGACGTTTTTATTCTGCGTACTTTCTGTGAGGCGGGATAAAGAACAGGAAGACTTGACTTTMAACAAGCTGATGAAGTTGAGGTAAAACTAAAATGTGACCTCATCACATCGAAATGAGGATCAAGTCATTCTGGCTTTAAAAGCTGCAGTTTAACACCTGATCATCCTGATATCAGCAAATCCAGACATATGATGTAATTAGTCTTGTTGGTTACGATAAAACATTAATATTTGATCTGATCCTAGTTTTATATAACTTTAATGAGGAGTTTTTTAAGTCATTATAAAAAATAAACCTCATAGTTTTTGAATATTCAGGTTTCCCAGCTGCAGAAACAAAATCTTTGCCAGCTCAGAAGGAAAATATGAAAATTTGAAGACTTTTTTTCCTCAAAACCTTTTATTTTTTTTGTTGTTGCTACTGCTCAAAACAGTGCTTCAAAAAGTTTTTTAGGGTTATATTTCAGCTCAATCAAATGATACATTGATGAGACTTTTATTTGTTATATTTAGACAAAATCTTGCAAGTGATTTAATGAAAACAATAAACCAGTTGGTTATGATGGGTCACATGTTGTCACCCAGCAGCTGTTCAGACTTTTAATCAAGACATATGATTCACAGATATTCTTGAAAATATGGAAAAGTATTAATTTGAATATTTTTCCAGCTCTTGATGAGTATTGGAGGTTAAAAAAGAGCTTTTTCATTTCCTAAAAATCATTTCAAACATTTTTATGAGTTGCTCAAATGAGCAGATTTAATATTATTTACTTAAAAAATTACATTTTCTCTTTTTTACCGCTTTGTTTGCCAACTTCCAGAATTAAAGTATTGAAAACAATAATCATCTAAGCAAATCTAAGAAAGCCCTACAAATGTTCAGATTTACACTTTTGGGGATTTTAATAATTTGTAAACTATCTAAGATTTAAAAGAATATTAATAAAAAGCGGTGTAATGTATAATAAAATGCACCTTGTCAGTTTTACCTATATAAAATTAATTTTAGGCTCAGTGAGAGACATGATTTTAACTGATTGTAACTATTTCTGCTTTAAAATTTTCCATAAATAAGTAAACAGATAACTAAACYACACCTCTGTACAAACTCTCTATATCAGTGTAAATTTTAAAAACCTTGGTAAAAAAAAATATCTGTAAAAAAAATCAACAAATATTTAAAAATTTGAGTCGGGATTAGTTTAGAATTTCAAAAGACAAACATGTTGAATCTGAACCATTCAGACACAAAAAACAGCAACTTTTAGACAAAACAATGTAAAAATGTAAAATATTGTCGTCTTTAATGCATTATATCTAATTATTTTTGGTAACAGTCTAAAAACGAAGCGCTTCAGTAAAAGGATTTGTTTTTTTACAGGTTTGACCCACGAAACCTGAAACTAATTACTGCTCTTAACCTCTCATTTCTCCTGCATCATCACTGCCACCTTGCACGCTCCCCACTTCAGTGTTTCTAACCCTCAGAGAGCCTTCAGTGGGGGGGGGGAAGGGGGGTCACAGGACTCTGGTTTAACTTTCTGTTTTGCGCTTCGGTGGCATCCCCTGCTCCTGTGCCAATCTCCGATCCTAAACACGAGGATAAAGAAAGGAAGAAAGCAGTTGAGAGGGAGTGAGTGTGAAACCAGAGCCAGAGATAACAATCTGCAGCTCGACCTCTGACCTGTCATCAGGTCAGCAACAGAGCTCGCAGTCAGCTGCTGCTCCTCATGCTCACGTTACAGCGGGACCTTCGCTCGGCCTCGTCCACAACGTGGCTCTTCGTTTAGACAAGCTGCAGGAGCCGAGAGGATGGAGCACGACTGCTCATGTAGAATTAAAGGAAAGCTTTATTAGAAAAACTAATAACATTATTAAAACTAGAGACATTTTCTGTGGAAATGCACTTCAAATGTCGAGTTCACAAATACATTTCTAAATATTAGATAAAAGTAGCACAATGCTAAGTGTTTCAAAAAGATAATTTGGCAGAACATTAGCTTTAAACTAACATCAGCCCTAATAGAATTAGCATTATTGTTGTTATCAATAGCATTACTAGTAGTRGCTAAATATTAATAAATAGCATAATGCTGTGTTTCAAAATGCTATCTAAATTCTAAAAGTAACAGAAGGCTAGCTAAAGGTAAGGAAAAACGTACTAAATTTAGCAGAACATTAGCTTTTAACATCAGCACTAGTAGAATTAGCATTAGTGTTATCAGTAGCATTACTAGTAGTAGCTAAATATTAAGAAATAGCATAATGCTAAGTGTTTCAAAATGCTATCTAAATTCTAAAAGTAACAGAAGGCTAGCTAAAAGTAAGAACAAATTTACTACATTTAGCAGAACATTTGCTTTGAACTAACATCAGTACTAGTAGAATTAGCATTAGTGTTAGCAGTAGCATTACTACTAGTAGCTAAATATTAAGAAATAGCATAAYGCTAAGTGTTTCAAAAAGCTATCTTAATGCTGAAAGTAAAAGAAGGCTAGCTGAAGGACAAAAAAAAGAATTTAGCAGAACTTTTGCTTTGAACTAACATCAGCTCTAGTAGAATTAGCATTAGTGCTAGCAGTAGCATTACTAGTACTAGCTAAATATTAAGAAATAGCATAACGCTAAGTGTTTCAAAAAGCTATCTCAATGCCAAAAGTAACAGAAGKGTAGCTAAAAGTAAGAAAAATGTTACTAAATTTAGCAGAACATTAGTTTTGGACTAACATCAGCACCAGAAGAATTAGCATTAGCAGTAGGATTACTTGTAGTAGTGAAATGATAGAAAATAGCATAATGCTAAATGTGTCAGAAAGCTATCTCAATACTAAAATTAACAGAAAGCTAGCTAAAAGTAAGAAAAAAATTAGCTAAATTTAGCAGAACATTAGCTTTTAATCAACATCAGCACTAGTAGAATTAGCAGTACCATTACTGGTAGCTATTAAACATTAAAAAAATAGYATAATGCTAAATTTGTCAGAAAGCTATCTCAATGTTAAAAGTAACCAACATCGCTTTGAACCAACTTCTTTAGTAGAATTAGCATTAATGTTAGCAGTAGTAAAACTTATAATAGCCAAATATTAGGTAAAATAGCATAATGCTAAGTGTTTCAAAAAGCTATTTTAATGTTAAAAGTAACAGAAGACTAGCTAAAAGTAAAAAAAATGTCAGCTTTGAACTAACATTAATAGTAGAATTAGCATTAGCAGTAGTATTACTAGCATTAGTCAAACATAAGATAAAATTAGCATAATGCTAAGTGTATCAAAAAACTAAATCTAAAGTGACAGAAGGCTAGCTAAATGTAAGATCATTGAGAGTTTAGTTAAAATGCACATCCAGAGGTTATTACATGATCGTCTGCCACCATGAACTTTATTTACTAATCTTTTTCTTCATTTTTGTTTATTTGTTATTCCAGGTGGGAACTGGCAGCCATGACGACCAACAGCAACATCAGCAGGCCCATCTTCTCCTCACATGGTTGACACAGCTCACTCTGAACCAGAACCAGAACCAGATCTCTTGTTTCCAGAAGGACTTCTACGTCACATAACCTCCAACGGACAGTTTTGGAGCGGTCTGGATCCTACGTATTCTCTGGTTTCTACAAGCGAACTCTCACTACTGACCAAATCATCCTGCGTCAAGACTTCCTCTGACACCGTCGGCCTCGCTGCGTCCAAGAATATTTAAATCCTTAAGACTCTAGTTGTGTGAGATCAATGTCGAACTTCTGTTTTTCTGTTCTAGCCTCTTTAGGAATCCAATCAGCCTATGATAATCATAGACTTTTTTTTATTCTTAAGCACAGGAGGAGAAGAGAACTTCTGCCAAAGGTCTTGAGAGCTAACCTCCAACGAGGATACCATCAAGATGTCAAACTCTGTGAAAAGACTGCAAAGTAATATATTGTTAAATGTTAAATCTTCATCTACAAACATGACTGATTGGTGATGTTTGTGTTCGGAACAAGGAGGCAGCATCTTCAGGACTATAGTACGAGAGTGGTAGGCTTGTAAAAGTTCATTTTTAATCATGTTTACTTCTAACATGACGTGTCCCACTGCTGCCAGGTGTCTCTGACGTGTTTSTATAAGGCAGACAAAGAAAGCCGCAAAACAATCACGGCCATCTACCTCCCTCTGAAGTATTCACTCTTGGGTCTTTCGATCATCCCGAACATTTGACGACCTATTCCACATAAAGAGAAGCGCAACTAACCTGSTGCAGATGTTTGAGTTTTTTGTTTWTTTTTAACTGACGGGAATCTTTCAAATGATTGGTCTAGTTTGTTCAGTCCAGTTTCAGAGACCATCACTAATATGCATAAAGTTGTTCCTGTTTTATCGACAATCGTTCAGCTTTCAGAGGAAACATCTCTCGATTGGTTTGTTCGTAGAGGCGATATAGGGCGTAGTTATGTTTTTGTTTTTCTCTTTAATTTTCATAAAGAAGACCAAAATGAACTGTGTACCACCATCTCCCTGTTGCTGTTTGCCCTGAGCTTTTTGTTTCTACTTACAACTAGCAACCAGCCGGATACCCTTTTTTTTTTATTAACAGGAGTACGATTTTTGTGAGTATGTAAGTTAGGGGTGTAAGAATACATCGATCCACGTTGATATATTGATAAATTATTATTAATTCAATTACATCAAAGCAAAACGAAAACATTGGCTCGTATCGTCATCATATGCCCGATGTGGATCGATGATATATCGATTGCAGACAAAACTGTATCATAACAGACTTTGTAATATGGAGAAACATTGTATCGTCATCGATATATTGTAACGACATCAATATATTGTATCGTCATATACATATTGCATCATCATCGATGTATTGTCGTCGATATATTGAAACGTCATCGATATATTGTATCGTCATCAATTTATCGTATCATCGATATATCGTATTGTCGTCGATATATTGAATTGTCATCGATATATTGCATTGTCGTCTCTATATTGCAGCGTCATCGATATATCGTATCATCATCTATATATTGTATCTTCGTCGATATATCGTATCATCATCGATATATCGTATCGTCATCGATATATCGCATCGATTGTATTGTCATCGATATATCGTATCGTCATCGATATATCGTATCGTCATCGATATATCGTATTGTCGTCGATATATTGAATCATCGTCGATATATTGAATCATCATCGATATATTGAATCATTGTCGATATATTGAATCATCA